GGGAATGGCTTCTGCAAGATCTAGTGGAGAGGGAGAGGGATGGGTGGAGGGAGAAGGGGGAGGGGGAGAGGAGGGGGAAAGGGAGGGAGAGGGTAAAGGGGAGGGGGAAGGGAGGAAGAGGGGCAGCCAAGGAGGACCCCTCTACAGAGCAAGTGTGTGTATGTGATCAGCCTACACTCACTATGGATGAAAATGCCACAGAAAACCTCTTAAGTTATATACTAATTAAAGATAAAATAATAAAATTAAAAATAAAATAACAAAACACAAAAAGACAAAATAATGTCCCGATAATCTTAATAGAAAAAATAGTAAAATAACAAATAACATTAAGTTTCTCTGTATAATTATATAATACATTGTATAACATATAATATGTAATAAATTATGTAAAATGTATTATATATAATATTATACATTACATTATATATAATATAATGCAAAATAAAACAGTAATGAAATAAAAGTAAAAAAAGAAGAAAACTGCCACCCACTCATGAGGGCTCAGGAACGAAACCCTTGACATCTTTCTCACCAGTGTGACAGACAAGGACAACCTGGGAACCAGCCTGGAGACTGTGTGTCAGGGGAATCCATGTCCACACTGACCTGGGTAGCTGCTCTCCAGAAATGCTGAGAGAAAGTCAGGACTTCCCAGAGGACATCTGCATCAGCATAGTTCAGCCTCCTTATGCACCCAGGGGCCAGTTCCTCTCTAGAGAGTCATTATTTTACTTCCTAGTTGTTTTAGGAAAGAAGCCAAACTTCACTGGTAAGCTGAAACCTTTTCTATACTCTGCTGCTGTTTCCTCCCTTCTCTTTGGATAACTACAACATACACTTGATGCTTGTTATTCTCATGAATACTTCTATTTTTGTTCCGTATCTGAATCTGTAGATGATACTCAGGTAGTCATTAAACATTTGTTATATTATACGCATCATTAGATTGCAGCTTGCTCATTTCCATTACCATATATATTTTTTTAAGTTCATTTGTTTGTTGGTTTTTTGAGACAGGATTTCTCTGTTTCTGGCTGTCCTGGAACTCACTCTGTAGACCAGGCTGGCCTTGAACTCAGAGGTCTGCTTTCCTCTGCCTCCTGAGTGCTGGGATTAAAGGCATGTGCCACCACACCCCACTTAAAATGTTGGTTTTTAAAATTAGATTTACTCATTTTACTTTATGTATGAGTGTTTTGCCTGTATGTACACCACTCTTGTGCCTGGTGCCTGCGAGGGTCAGAAGAGGGTATCAGATCCCCTGGATCTAGAGTTACAGATTGTTGTGAACCAATACGTGGGTGCTGGGAATTGAACCCAGGTCTTCTGCAAGAGCAACAAGTACTTTTCACAGATGAGCCAGCCCCCACAACCATGGTTTTGATTTTTGTTCATATCGACACAAACAGCTCTAGTTTATTCAACCCCCTGCATAGTGTTGTTATAGTAGGCATCAAGTCCAGAGGTCAGTTTTCTCGCTCATTTTTCCATTTATCAGCAGTCATGTGATATCCTACTCCTTATTTTCACCATTGAGGTTGCACTGGACATCTGTATCTTCTGTATATGTCCAAAACTCCAAAGTGCTAAGTATATGCCGAAGAGTCAAAAGGTCTTAGTTTTTCTATATTTTGTGTTATTACAGCACACTCTGAAAAGGAAGTTAGTTGAAACTTATTATTGAGCCTTTACAATATGCCAAGATAAGGTAAATAAGAGAGACAGCATTTCTACTGTTTGAGGTCTTCTATTTCATTTAGAGATGAGAACAGATTCAGAGATGAGAATACATTTAGAGGGCAAATTTAGAGGGGGGAAAACAAAAACTAGTAAGCTAACTTCAGAGAAGACTAAATGCTACAATAGTGAACAATGGCGTGTTTTCTGATTCCTGATCTTCCTTGGTTTTCCATTCCACGCAGGATTAAGTAGAACTCCTTCTCCCGTCTGTAAGACTCGGCACCATTAGCCCCCGCCTCTGCCTGTTATTTTCTGTACACTCTATCACCTTGGCCTTGAAATCTTTGGACTCAGTTATATTTTTTCCTGCTTCACCACTTTCTGATAGTTTTCTGGCTGCACAGAAAGTTCTTTTCACTTCTCTTTGCCTCTCTCATGCACCGCATCATTTCCCTCAGTGTCACTTAGCACGCTGGGTGATGATGCATGTATGATGATGCATCTGCCTGGCCTGCTAGCTTGCAAGGTTGTGACATGGACCTGCTGCTGCTGCTGCTCTCCACACCTCCTAGCCCACACCCTGACACAGAGATGTTCCTTAGTGACTTTGTATAAAATTAGCACAAACAAATGTGCTTCTCAGAGTTTGCCTGTGTGCTCACTTTGGTATTGGAAATGTCACCCACCCAGTCAGAGAGCCAACCTGTGTCAGTTACTTTATGGGCTGGTTGGTTTTTGTCAACATGACTCAGACCTAGAGGGAAAAGGGAATCTGAAGTGAGGAATGCCTCTGTGAAGACTGACCTGTAGGCACGCCTTGAAATTAAGGATCTGCTCCTAAATAACTACACTAGCAATAGCCCAGCAGCAAAGTGTATACTGAGGCTATGAGCTAACCTTGTTCAACTTTCACCCCATGCATCCAATGAAGAGCCACACATTTCCTTTGGATTTCAGGCTTCTTACAGCTCCCATGTGTCTGGGTGTTCTGTGTTGTTGGGTTGGTCGAAGAAAGAGGTCACTCCAAGATGATAATGCCTCTGTGGCAGCAGGAAGGTCCAGTCTCTGAACTGAACTGAACTGAACTGAACTGAACTGAACTCTAAGCAGCTGTACAAAGGCATATTTATTGATTTTTACACAAAGTTGTTTTTTGGGTAAAGTATTTTCTCATACCAAGGTTCATAATCTAATCTATATGTCTTTCTAAAGGAAAGCATCACATGCCCTCACGACTTTAGTCCTTATTGTCTACCATTTGCAGTACACAATAATCCAAGAGTCTCAGGTGTGCCAGAGGCGTCTTGTGACTAAAGTCTTGCAAAGGCTGCAATGCTCCTTCAGAAAAACAATTCTACAAATCATGGGAAACAATCACTGTTTTCCATGAAGATTCTTTACTGTTTTCCACAATGATTCTTCAAGGCCAAAGTACTTTTAGAAAACAACTATTCACTCTAATGATTGCCCTGGATACAATGGAAACTATTTATTCTAATGTTTGCCCTGGATACAGTGAAAGCTGTTCATGCTAATGTCTACCCCAGATACAGTGACTCTGCTAAATTCCCTCAATACCCATGGCTTTTAATTTACTGTTGACACTATTTGAAGAGTCCAGAATTGTAGCACGAATCTTAACAGGTCTTATTAATAAAATGAAACCTAAAGCCAGGTATTGGGGTGAATGCTGGAAGATTAGAGAAGCAGAACAAGCCACAGCCACCCTCCCTCGCCAATTCCTCAGCTGATCCTGTTTCCTCAGACTGGAAGCCTCTGAGTTCTCATCCAAATGGATCTCAGCTGAACTGCTGCTAAAAGCCGAAAAGCTTAACCAGCCAGTCCCTGCTTTTCACGCCTTATATACCTTTCTGCTTTCTGCCATCACTTCCTGGGATTAAAGGCTCACTTCACAGGATTAAAGGCCTGAGTTACCATGCTTGTTTGTTTCCAGTGTGGTTTTAAACTCACAGAGATCCGGATGGATCACTGCCTCCCAAGTGATAGGATTAAAGGCGTGTGCTACCACTGCCTAACCTCTATGTTTAGTATTGTGGCTCTTCTGTTCTCTGACCCCAGATAAGTTTATTAGAGTGCACAATATTTTGGGGAACACAGTACCACCACATATTATGGGCTTCTGATGGACTGATTGCTTCTCTCTCTCTCTCTCTCTCTCTCTCTCTCTCTCTCTCTCTCTCTCTCTCTCTCCCTCTCACTATGTGTGTATGTACGTGTTTGTGTGTGTTCATGCATATGCTCAGGGGTGCATGCCTGTCCCCGTGTGCATATGTAGAGGCCAGAGGACAATCTCAGCATCGGGTGTCTCTCCAGGGACCCACCTATCTCTGCCTCCCCAGCACTGGGATTCAGACACACCCATAGCTGTGCCTGGGTTTTTATGGCATGCTGGGGATCGAACCCATGTCTTTATGATTGTGTAGCAAGTGTTTCACCAAATGAGCCATCTCTCCAACTCCAGTTACTTAGTTTCCTTTTCCTAAATGGTATAATTCCTGCTGGCCATTTGACATGAATACCCCATGTTCTCAGTGCTATCTACCTTTCCCAAGGCATCATGTCAGGAAATGGTGATTCTATTTTGATTCATTCATGGTCATGCTAAATTTAATTAAATTAGATGGAGTCTGCCAGATCTACTCATTGTAGAGCACATGTTATCATTATCATTAACACATATTTTAGGGTGGCCTTTGAAGACCATGTAAATGCCCTGCTTAACATCCTTCACCTAATGGTTTTAGCAGTTGTTGATGACCCTTGCTTATAACCATTGTTTTACTGGTAGTTGACAGAAGATATCACATAACTTAATTATTTATCCTACATTTTTTAGCTGGCATTCTTTTTATACCCACCCACCCCCCATTCTTTTTTGGAACTTCTTTGAAATATCAGAATGGATCCATAGATGTTTTTCTAGAATAATTTAAATCCAAAATAAAGTAATTTTTCCTTGAATGTTTCAATATTTTTTTACATATTTGCTGCAATGCTTTCTCACACAATATTTTATATCCAGTTATCATTGTGAAATAACGTATTTTGTTAAGTAGAACACAATGCAGTTCCCTTAGGACACCAATCCCTTTCCCTTTCATTAGCCTGGCTCACAATTGTGGTGATAATTTCTCATTTATTTTCCATTGGTGGTTTAAACACAAAATCAAATCCATTTATTGAGAATAAAAGCGGGGGTCAGGAAGGCATTTCCCAGCGACATGGAAACGCACCTTTCTCCCCCTTCCCGCACCTCCTCGCCCTTGCAATGAACGCTTCCTCTGGCTTATTTTTAGGACCGAAGATTCAATGATGAGATCGACAAGCTCACTGGATACAAGACAAAATCACTATTGTGCATGCCCATCCGGAGCAGCGATGGTGAGATTATCGGTGTGGCCCAAGCAATAAACAAGATTCCTGAGGGTGCTCCATTTTCGGAAGACGACGAAAAAGTAAGACCTCAGGCCTCGCATGACTTGTACTTTCCATTTTGCTCACTGATTGCTTCTCTCACTGAAAGGATGGGAATTATATGAATAGTTCTTCGATTAGCCTATTCACAGATCAAAGAGCTTTTCCTCTGCTGTACAAGATGTAACGGGAGGCTTTTTTAGCATTTCATAGAATGTGGTATAATTGAAAATAATCACTCCACGTTTTTTAAAGCCTGCTTTTCATTACAAGTCACAGTAGTACTCTTGCTATTGCCCGGTCTTTATTTTCCTTGTAAGTAAGCCTTTTAATTGTGAACAGCACCATGACTACACATGACCCAAGGGAGGGCAGAGAATATGGGAAGATTCAAACACTCAGCATTTTCTCCTGCCATTCTACAACTATAACAGAGAGTTGTTTTCTTACTTCCTATATAAAAGCCTCAATAAAATGAGTGTTATTTAATTGTTATTGTAAATCACTAGGAAAGGGAGCATCATTTTTAAAGTTTCTGAAGAACAAATGGCTTTGGTAGAAGTGACAAGCTTCTTGTTCTAGAACTTTAAGTTCCTCTACTAATAGTTTACTGCAAGCCTTGCTGAGGAAGGCTCTTCAGGGAGCAGAGGTTCTGGCTTGAGGCAGTTGCCTTCCTACTGAATAGACTCTGGTAGAAGGGAAAGCAAATCTCCTGTCAGTTTGTTTCTGTTTGATGACTGCTCTGTTGCTATTTGATTGAAAACTTTATCGTTTAACCTTCTGGATGAGGCTCTGCTGTTTGCCAGTGCTAATTGTTAATATTGCACAAATGCAAACGTGCCGGTCCAGAAGGCCAGCATGAAATACGGTTATAGGAAAACGGGAAGATTTCTCAATGAAGTGAGTCCTTCACTGAGGTCATTCCTGCAGTGAAAGCGAAAGAAGTCAAATCCTGGTAAAAGTTGGTAAGCTCACAGAGCCTTACAGAACCTCGGATGACTTCTCATCAATTCTGTGTAGGAAGCACATGGGTTGGGGTCATAGGAGGTAGATGGGCAAACCCCACATCTTTTGTGCCATCCAGGAGCTACCCAAGGTGGGAGACAGCAAGATGTTCTAGAGCATGCTGACTGTAGGGGAGAGAGCAGCTCCAAAGGGCCTTCTTGGAAGAGATACCATTTCATCTCTGAGTCGAGAATAGGTTTCAACTGACAGACCCAAGAGAGACAGAAAAAGCATTTGGAAGCCAGTTTGCAACAAATGGTGCTGAATTCAAAGACTTGTGGCTGTCCAATGCCCAGAAAAAGTGATGTTGAGGGTTCAGCCCTAAAGAAGACGTATATCATCCCTTCTAAGGCTCAGGGAACCTTGTGGAATAGGGGCAGGAAGAATGTAATAGCTAGAAGATAGGGAGGAGAGTTATGAAATGTTTTAGGCAGGACACAGCCACTGTAATAATGAACTCATGGCAGCTAGTTACTTGCACTTGGCCTGCTGAAGACTGGCCTTGTAAGCATGGGTAGAGACGAGCTTGTAACGCCTACCCCGAACTCTTGCCTGGCTGGATTCTTCCAGAGGAAAAGTCATTGTTTTCAGTTGTGTTATCCACTGTTAAGCCCAGCAGGCTCCAACAGACAGCTCTAAATCCATGGTGATATAAACTCTCAATCCATGGTGACACCAATAGTCCTGGTTAAACTCGATGAATCAGAAAATGAAACAAATAGATATAAATATGAGAAAGAGATTTGTAGGGAAAATTGAGGAGTAGATGGGCAGGATGTACATAAAAGAGAGTGAGAGTAAATAGGATGCATTATAAACTTGTATGAAATTACAAAAAATTAATTAATAATAAAACCCATAGAAATGTAGTGTAGACCACTTTAGTCAGTATAACACATGTTCATGGAATGTCTAGGCAAAAAATCTGTTAGAAAGATTTTACCTTTTACTTACGTGTACTTCTGTGTGTTTGTGTGGGACTATGTTATGTGCGTGCAGGTGCCTGCAGAGACCAGAAGAGGTCATTGGATCTCCTGCAGCTGGAGTTACAGGTGGTTGTGAGGTGTCAGATGTGGATGCTGTGGGCCAAACTGGGGTTCTCTGCAAAAGCAGTACGAGCTTTTAAATGCTAAACTATCTCTCCAGTCCCCACAAAGATTCATTTTAATTTTTTTTAAACCATAGATGGCAAAATCCTGAGCTAATATGTCTCCTTTCCAAGTTTAGATATGATTTGGGGTTTGTGCCTTTTAGAATGCAACAACTTATAAGCCCCATGGTCCGCCCTCTGCTCTGCCTCCTTCACTGAGCGATCCCATTGTACAACCATATCTTTCATTGATTCATTGTGTTATGATTGCTTTATGGACTCCCCCTGGCGGATTTTACTTACAAGACAGGGCTCCATCAAGCTCCAAATGATTTAAAGGAAGGTTTGCACCAGGTTTTGTACCTTTCCTGAATAGCATCAATATTTAACTCTATTGAAGACCAGGCTTTAGTGGAGCCCAGCTTGGCTAATGACAAGTAGGCACCTTTGGAAAGCTAGAGCATCTCCCTCAGCTCCCTTACCTGTCAGTGTGGTATCTCCCACTATGTGGTGTGAGAATTAAATAAGATCATAGTAACAAATTCTCTGTAAAATGTAAGATACTGGGCAAGTGTAAGCTATGACTGCTACATCTAACATTTCCTCTGAGTTTAAACTTTTCTTTTGTGCCTGTCTGTCCCTGATTCTCAGACAGATTATCTCATAGAGTCAATCCATTTTCTTGTTCCCAAATCTATGATTTTCTCTTCTAAAATTGTTTCATGTGCCCACAGTCTCATTTTATCCTCCAGTATGTTTGAAAAACTCACATAGTATTTTCACTGCGTTGGAGTTTTACCAGTCAGGGCAGGTGGCATATGTTCATCCAAGTGACACAGTTATAAAATACTTTATGTCCACAATTTCTAGCCTGGGTTGGTTTCTTCTTGCAAAGATTGTATGTATTGTGCATCCAATAGACATGGGTAGGATGAAAGTAGAAAATAAATTCTAGAAATGCTTGATGGAAAAGGATACAATTTTGCTGCCTCTGCCAAAGGCGGAAGGACAATGGAGCTTTTACAGCTGCCCAAGTGATATTTACATTGAAATTATTTCCTCCAGGTCTTGGGTAACACTCATGTCAAAGGGCCAGATGGGGGATTCCATGAAGGGACACAGGGACACTGGCTGGAAGAGTGACTCACAGGGGTCCCCATGGAAGACCCCCGGCACACGGACAGCACAGGCTCCGGCAGGGCTCAGTGGAAAGCTATGTTTGTGTAACTGTCTCTAAGTTTCTAGTCACTGGAACCTCCGGGTTGCCAAGTTTGTAGAGGTGACAGGAGGAACGTGCAGCCAGAGGGAACAGAAGCTCGGCCCTTCCTCAAGCCGCCTCCTCTGTAAGCTGGCTGCTCTTGAGCTGCATATTCTGTGATGAGTCTGTAACACACAAGGAGAGATGCCATATACAAACAGGAAAAAACCAGATTGTTCATGACAACATGCATCGGACCCACCCTCGTCAGTGGCCAGCCTGGGGGCTGCCACCGAGCTGAGTAGTCAAGCTCTGCTCAGCGTCTATCACAGCATTCCTCATCCTGGCTTTTGCCAACTCAGGGCCAATAAGAAGCTCCCTGAGCTATTATCTAAGGCCAAGGTGTTTTGCATGATCTGTCCTTTGGTACCCTCATGCCAAAACTTCAAATCAAGGCATATTTAACTCTCTTCCTGTTTTCACCATAGAAAATGCTGATCCTGCCCCTTTGAGTCTGTCAAATGCAAGTGGTGGTGGCTGACTTCCTTGGAGCATGATCTCAGTAGATTGCCCATTCGTTTTCATTAGACCAAAGTTTTGATTAATACAGTCTATATGCCAGATCATATGACAAACAGTCTGTCACTGTGGTTTCATTATGAGTTCATGGTTTTCTTGTACCACTGTTAATGACTATACTGTTTTTTATTTCAGTCTTTAAGATTATTTTTATGCTAGTTTGTATTCTACTTCTTACTTTATTTTTGAGACAAGGTCTCACTATGTAGCCTTCGCTGGCCTGAAGTTGCTATATTGACCAGGCTGGCCTCAAACTTATGGCGAGCCTCCTGCATCTGCCTCTTGGAAGGCTGAACTTAACAAGTGTGCCACCTTGAACAGCCTCACATTCTCTACATATAATTTAAACATGAATTTCCACATGTGAATGTCTTCTGTATTTTTCCATTTGGAGTGATTATAAAGTTTTCTAATTTTCTTTTTTTCTACATAATCTTGTTTCTCTGTCTTTAATTTGGGGTGTTTCTAGATGTAAACTAATTCAGTCATGGTATATTCACTACATATGTATATGTGTATATCATATTGCATAATATGATTCATATGTCTTGATGTCTTCAAGTTTTTGGAGACTGTAAGTTACATGTGTGTGTGAGCAAGTTGAATACAGGAGTCTTGCACAGATTTCCTTTTGCTTTCCTATCATTTCCTTGTGGTGTACTCCAAAGACTGAAATTTACTGTGTTAAAAGGCAAGCCAAGTCTGTGCTATCAGAAGCTTTCAAAAACTCTGAGCTCATTTACAGTGGTGTCAGTATTGGACAAGCCCATGGTCTCAGGGCCCTGCTGACTTTGATCAGTTCACATTTAAAATCCAAAGTAAGTTTCCCTTGCTCTTCCAGACAGGGCAACCTCCTTTCACGTTCAGGGGGAACATAAGGTCCATCAGCAGGTTGGAAAGATGTCTCAGATGTTAAGAGTGAGCACTGCTCTTGCACAGGATCTGAGTTCAGTTCCTAGCATCCACATGGTGGCTCACACCCGCCTGTAACTTCAGCTCCAGGGAATCTGACGCCGCCCTCTTCTGGCCTCTATGGGTACCGCATGTTTAAAAATAAAAATCTTAAAAACAAACAAACTAAAAAACAAACACAAGCCCTTTGAGGTCCAGATGCAACTGTAATTTCTGGGTTTCCCACAGACAAAAAAGGGAACAGAAGGAAGACTTGT